GAAACAGCAGCAGCAGCTGCTGCTGCAGGAGCTGCAGCAGCAGCAGCAGCAACCACAGCAGCGCAACAAGAAGCTGCCAAAGGCCCCCAAAAGGCTCACAGACTCACAAGAAGCCCAATGGGGCCCTTTAAAGCAGAACTCTGGCTGCTGCTGCAGCAGGGGGCCCCTCTGCAGCGTCCCTACTCTGCTGGGTTTAACGGGGCCCCTTAAACTTGGCCTGGGGGCCCCCAGAGTGGGCTTTTTAGGGTCTCAAATGGAGAGACAAATGGGCCAAAAAAGGCAAAGATGGGACAAAACAAATTGAGGTTAAAAGCCAAACAGAAAAGGGACCCCCAGGGGACCCCCAGGGGCCCCCCAGGGGCCCCCCACGGGCCCCCCAGGGGCCCTCCAGGGGCTCCCCAGGGGCCCCCCAGGGGCAGTCTTAGGCACTGGAGGGCCCCCCAGGGGGCCCCCAGTGCCTAAGACTGGCGCTGCTGCTTAGGGCCCCCAGCAGCCGCTGCAGCCAAAGGGCCCCTTAAGGGGCTCCACTTGTAATTAAGGGGCCCTTCGGGGCACCTCCTGGGGGCCCCCTGAAGGGGCCCCCCTGTGGGGCCCCCTCTAAGGGGCCCCCTGTAAGGGGCCCCTCTGTGGGGTCCTGAATAAGGCCCCTATGACGCCCAAAGCGGGGCCCCTCGCGGACGCCCCTGTGGGGGCTCCCTGTAGGGCTCCTTAATTTGTTGTTGTTCAGGGGGGCCCTCGGGGGGCCCCCAGGGGGCCCCCCGGGGGGCCCCCCTGGGGCCCCCATCACTTTGCGCGGGAACGTGCTGCGAGGGCAGAAGCCTGGAGACGCGAAACTGCTGCTTCTGTGTTGGCAAGAGATTGCAGCAGCTGCTGCACTGTCTCTGCCTGGACAGTCAGCAGCCGCAGCAGCGCGGGGGCCACCGCGGGCTGCTGCTCCTCGCTGCTGCTGCTGCTGCTGCTGCTGCAGGCCTCCGGCTTCTGCTGCTGCAGGCTCGACAGCCACACGCGCAGCCCGTCAATCCGCTGCTGCCAGTCCGCCCACTGAAACTCCTCCTGCAGCGCCACAAGCAGCAGCAGCAGCAGCTTAAATTGACTCGAGGAGAAAGCATGCATCAAAGGACACCACTGCAGCAACGTGACTGCCCATAGGCGAACCAGACTGCTAACGTTAACGGGAGCGATATGCTGCTGCTGCTGCTGCTGCTGCTGCTGCTGCTGCCAGCTCTGCTGCCGTCAGAGCACTAAGAGCTTTCGCTGCTGCTGCTGCTGCGTCGCGACAGTACCTGGATTTGAGCTAGCAGCTGCTCGTTTGCTGCTTCACACCGTGGATTCCTTTCACAGACGCCGCGGCTGACAGCCAACCCTGCAGCAGCAGCAGCAGCAGCAGCAGAAGCCAAGCAGCGTGCAACATAGCCAAAAAACCCCAACAAGTAGCGACGGTGCAGTGGGGTCAAACTGCTTCTCGTGCATCCGCAGCAGCAGCAACTGCTGCGTCGCCAACAGCAGCAGCAGCAGCAGCGACAACAGCAGCAGCAACGAGCAGCAGCAGCAGCAGCAAGAGCAGCAGCAACTGTGCGCACCTTCAACAAGCCCTACAGCTCTTATGAGGCTGTGGCCGAGCACTGCATGTCTCTTCTTAATTCGCCCCAGCTGCAGCACAAAGAGCAGCAGCTGCAGCAGCACGACGTTCGCAACAACTGCGGTAGCAGCAGCAGCAGCAGCGCCGCCAGCAGCAGCAGCAGCAGCAGGAGGCCCACTGACCGCTGCATTCATTTGGTTGTGCTTAGCAGCAAGGGCCTCCGTGTCTCTTGCTGTTGCTGCTGCTGCCTGCAGTATGGCTTCTGTCATTTCTGCTGCACCCGAAATGCGCGCAGCAAGGCCCTGCAGCCCCACCACAGGCACCACAACCCCTGCAGCAGCAGCAGCAGCAGCAGCAAAAGCAGCAGCAGCAAAAGCAGCAGCGGCAGCAAGGACAGCAGCAGCAGCAGCAGTACCAGACAAATGGTTAGTAACTGGCACACAGCTCAAGGCGGCGCATTGGCGCTCAACCGACTCGTGCTACATTAACTGCAGCAGCAGCAACTGCAGCAGAAACTGCAGCAGCAGCAGCAGCAGCAACTGCAGCAGCATCAGCAGCAGCAGCAAATGCTGCAGCTGCTGGTGAGGGCTCCTGTTGTTGCTACCGGCGCGCGTTCGGCTGCGGTTGCTGCTGCTGCTGCTGCGGCGGCATCAGAGAGTAAAGCTGAGTAATACTGCCCTTTCTACTGGGCCCTAAACCCTGAACCCTAAACCCTAAACCCTAAACCCTAAACCCTAAACCTAAAGCCTCGAGATACCTGCTTGTCTGTCAGGGTTTCTGTGAGCTGCGCGCTGCCACCTTGAAAGCAACTCTTGGCCCTGCTGCGGGGTTGCTGCTGCGAGCTGCTGCACTTTCTGCTCGAGCTGGAGGTTTTGCTGCTGCGCGCGGGTGAGGCCCGTGCTGCTGCTGCTGCTGCTGCTGCTGCTGTCCAAGTCGTACGAAAACCCTAGTGCTGCTGGGGTTTCGTCCTGCAGCAGCTGCTCAACCCGCTGCAGCCGCGACTGCAGCGACGCGAGATAATTCCTTGAATGAATTGGCAGGTCTTGGGGCGCTGCGCACAGCCAAACCCTAAACCCTAAACCCTAAACCCTAAACCCTAAACCCTAAACCCCGAACCCTAAACCCTAAACCCTAGGCGTGCATGCATGCGCAGCGCGTCAGAGGGCCTCCAGAGGCTTCAAGGGCACTGGAAGCGCCTCGCTAAAACTGAGGTGCAGCAGAAGGCGAACCTGCTGCTGCGGTTTGCTGCTGCTGCTGCTGCTGCTGCGGCTGCAGCTGCAGCCCTGTGGAAAGCCCAAAGAAGCTCGTCATTATCTTTGTTAACAAATGGCGCGCCTAGAGAAGCAGGTACACTTTGCTGCTGCAGCTGCTGCTGCAACTGCTGCTGCTGCTGGAGCTGCTGCTGCTGCTGGTCAGCTGCTTCGCGAGCTGCTGCTGCAACTGCTGCTGCAGCTGCTGGTGTGACGGCTACTTGCTGCTAGTGGAGCTGCTGCTGCTGCTGCTGTTGCTGCTGCTGTTGCTGCTGCTGCTTGCTGCAGCAGAGCGCGTTGCTCCTCTCTACTTGCTTTGTTTGGTGGCCGCCCCGAGGCTCATATAAAGAAAAGAAAATAATTTAAAATAAATAAAAGAAATTAAAAAAACAAAAAAAGAAGATGAAAAGAGCCCAAAGTGCAGCAGCAAGTGCCTTGAAGCCTCTGCTGCACTCCCCTGCTGATGTCACTGCAGCAAATAACTCCCCCTTTTATATTTGCTGCTGCTGCTGCTTTTGGCCTCCAATTCGAATTTAAATAACATTTAAAACAAATTAGGGGGCACAAGGGCCACGGGGGGCCCCCAGTACCCTCTGGGGGCCCCCAGGGGCCCCCACAGGAGCAGCTGGAGGACGCAGGAGCAGCAGACACGGCGCTTTGCGAGATAACAGCAGCACGAATTGTTAAATTAAATGGAAATATAAATTAAATTACTTTATTTTAAATATTGTGTTGGATTGTACAGGCAAAGATGCAATAGGAAAGAAAGATATAGCTCACTATCGCTGCTCTGTCTCCCGTGCCGTCTCCGCTGCTGCTGCTGCTCTTACTGCAGCTGCTGCGCTGCTGCCGCTGCTGCTGCTGCTGCTGAACTAGAACAACTAATGCCTCGGGAACACAGTTGCTTATTTTGAATTTAACTTTATTTTTTCAAAGAAGGAGGAAAAAAGAAAAAAGAATTCCGTTTGTTCCCACCTGCAGCTCGTCGAGCTGTCCGTACACCTCAGGTGACCTCTCTGCCTCTCTGGTCTTCTCTTTTTCCCTTTGTCTTTCCTTTTTTTTCTTCTTTTTCCTTCTCTTTACCCTCAAGATTGTGCAGACTCGCGGCCTCTGCACATCAGGGCTATCTGGAGGTAATAACTCACGCTAAACCCTAAGCCCTAAACCCTCAACCCTGAACCCTAGACCCTAAACCCTAAACCCTAAACCCTGGACCCTAAACCCTAAGGTGCAGCTCCTAAACCCCCGAGTCCAGACTGGCAAGAAGGAGTTTCTTGCCGCCCTTGAGGTGTACAGACACTCCTTTTTTGTCGCCTTTCGTGGCAGCAACTTTAAATTTCCACTTTTCAAGTGTCTAGACAAAAAAGGAGAAAAAAGGGAAAAAAGCTGAATAAGCAGCAGGCGAGTTGAGGTGTACGTACACCTCAACTGCTGCACACAGATTTCTTTCATTTCGCCGTCTCTGCTGCTCCTTGAGGGTTTAGGGTTTAGGGTTTAGGGTTTGTCTTGTCATAATTTTAAGTCAAGAGGAACTTCTTTTCTCTTTGCCGCCTCTGCCTTATAGCCTTGCTGCAGTTTGCTGCTGGCATGCCCTTTTTGAGGGTTTTGCTGCTGCTGCTTTCTCCGTCGCAACAGCTCTTTTTGCTTCTTCTTCTGCTGCTGCTGCTGCTGCAGGCAGGGCAGCGCAGCACAGCTTGCGGGGTGTACGTACACCACGATGAAGACGCTCCTGAACGCAGCAGCAGCAGCTGCTGCTGCTGCGCTGCTGCTGCTGGCTTCCCCCGCGCCTGCTGCTGCTGCTGCAGCACCAGACTGCCCCCTCTGCCAGCTGCGTAGGCTCGATGGTGAGCTTTTTTTTTCTTGTCTTTTTATTTCTAATTTGGTTTTATATTTTTATTCTCCGTCTCTTTTGTCTTTAGTTTCAATTTCAATTTTGTATTTTTATTCTTCATTTCTTTCTCTTTTTAATTCTTTTTTTTTCGCTTTTGCTGCTTTTCAAGTCCAGTTTCTACCTTTGGCGCTGCTGCTGCCGCTTTTCCCTTTTTGCTGCTGCCCTTTTGTCTCTTTTTTGCTTATTTCTGCTGCTGTCTCCGTTTGTGTCTTTGCTTCTTTTTGCTTCTGCTGCTGCTGCAGGTGCTCGCCCGCATCCTGCCCATGGCGCTGCGAACGAGCAGCTGCGGCTGCTGCAGCAGCAGCAGCAGCAGCAGCAGCAGGTGTTGCAGCAGCTGCAGCACCAGGGAACCACAAACCCAAATGCTCTAAGCAGGAATTTGCAGCAGCAGCAGCAGCCGCAGCAGCAAGCTGCTCCAAAGGCTATGACTCTAGCGGACTTTCAGATGATGCAAAGGGAAAAGCAGCAGCAGCGCCTGCAGCAGCAGCAGCAGCAGCAACAGCAGCAGCAGAGGCCCAAGGCCATAACTTTAGCAGACTTTCACAAGATGCAGCAGGAGAGGCAGGCCCAGAAGCAACTGCAGCAACAGCAGCAGCAGCAGCAACAGCAGCAGCAGCAGCAACAGCAACAGCCAGAACGACCGGTTAAAACGATGACCCTTCAGGAGTTCCAGAAGCAGCATAGGCTAAGAGGACCACACAATCAGCAGCAGCAGCAGCAGCATCAGCACCACCATCTGCCCATGCCGCCTCACCAGTTTGCACCGCAGCAACAGCAGTATCCGCAGCAGCAGCAGCAGCAGCCACCGATGCTGCCGCCGCAGTACCCGCAGTATCAGCCGCAGAATAACTATCCGCCGCAGCACCTGCCGCAGCAGCAATTCCCTCAGCACCTGCCGCAGCAGCAATTCCCTCAGCACCCGCAGCAGCAGCAGCAATATCAGCCTTACCCCTACCAGCAGCAGCCGCAGCAGCACCCGCAGAACCCGCTGCAGCAGCAGCAGTACCAGCCATATCCCCAGCAGCAGCAGCAGCAGCAGCGTCCGCAGCTCCCACACCAGCAGCCGAACTACTTCCAGGGCCCACAGCAGCAGCAGCAGCAGGAGAACTACCCGCAGGGCCCACAGCAGCAGCAACAGCAGCCGAACTACCCGCAGGGCCCACAGCAGCAGCAGCAGCAGCAGCAGCAGCCGAACTACCCGCAGGGCCCACAGCAGCAGCAGCAGCAGCCGAACTACCCGCAGGGCCCACAGCAGCAGCAACAGCAGCCGAACTACCCGCAGGGCTCACAGCAGCAGCAGCAGTACTACCAGGGACAGCAGCAACAGCCGGCTTTCCCGATTCCGCAGCAGCAGTTTCCCCAGCAGCAGTTCCCACAGCAGTGGCGTCCGCAGCCGCAGCCAGGGCAACAGCAGCAGGAGCAACAGCAGCCCCCGCAGCAGCAGCCGCAACAGCAGCAGCAGCCACAGCAGCAGCAGCCGGGAAAGCAGGAGGAAGTGCTCCCGCTGCTGAACTTGCCCTCTTGGCTGCCCAGCTGGCTGCACCCCTCCAGCAGCAGCAGCAGCAGCAGCAGCAGCACAACCACAACCACAACCACAACCACCACCACCACCACCACCACCACTTCGAAGCCCCCAGCCAAGCCCCTCCTGAGTTTGAGTGTACCGACACTCCAGGACCTTTTCCTCTCCGTCAAGGGGCAGCAAACAACAACAACAACAACCCCACCCCAACCGCCTTCCCCCTCCTCTCCGCCGCCCCCAGCAGCAAGCAGCAGCAGCAGCAGCAGCAGCACCAGCGGCAGCGGCAGCGGCGGCAGCAGCAGCAGCAGCGGCCGCGGGCCTCTAGCGAACATCTTCGGCAACCTTCCAACCCCTGCTTGGCTGCCGCTGCCCAGGAGCTCAGATGCAGCAGCAGAACCAGCAGCAGCAGCAGAAGCAGCAGAAGCAGCGGAAGCAGCAGCAGCAGAAGCAGAGGTAGCAGAGGAAGATGACGCAGCCGTGACGCTGCGACAGGCAGAAGCAGCAGAGCCGCAGCCGCAGCAGCAAGAGGAGCAGCAGCAGCAAGAGGCGCTGCAGCAGCAACTTGAAGCACACCACTACAGAGACTTGCTGCAGCAAAAGCCCAGCCCCATTACAGGCATTAGCGACCTCATTGAATCTATTCCGCAGCAGCAGCAGCTAGAGCAGCAGCTAGAGCAGCAGATGCCAGAGGAGCAGCAGCAGCAGGAGGCGTCGCAGCAGCCAGAGCAACAGCAGCCAGAGCAGCAGCAGCAGGAGGCGTCGCAGCAGCCAGAGCAACAGCAGCCAGAGCAGCAGCAACAGGAGCAAGAGGGGCAGCAACAGCAACAGCAGCCTGAGCAACAAAACGAGGCCGCGCAGCAACTGGAGGAGCAGCAGCAGCAGCAAGCCAGTGCAGCGGCTGCTGCTGCAGCGGATACAGCCGCAGCAGAGGCACCTGCTGCAGCAGAGGCAGCAGGAGAGCCTGCCGCAGCTGAAGCAGCTGCAGCGGAGCCCGCTGCAGCAGCTGTAGCAGAGCCCGCTGCAGCAGAGGCAGCTGCAGAGCCCACTGCAGCGGAACCAGCTGCTGCAGAGGCTGCTGCGGCTGAGGCTGCTGAGCAGTAAGTGCAGCAGCAGCAGCAGAGGGCCCGAGGGCGCCTCTGTGCAACAGCAGCGCGGCCCTGGGCCATCGTTTTCTGCTGCTGCAGCAGCAGCAGCCGGTGCAGACGCTGCCGCCGCGGCAGCGGCAGTGTGATCGATTGTGTTATGCTGCTGCTGCTGCAGCAGCAGCGGCAGTGTGACCGATTGTGGTGTGCTGCAGCAGCAGCAGCGTGAGCAAGTGTGGAAACAGCCGCGTCGTTTGCTCCTAATTCTAATTAGAGTCTACAAATAGCTTTGCAGTGCAGCTAGCTAGCTCGCTAGCCAGTAGGTTAGTGCCCCACAAGTGCCCTACTAGCTGCTGCTGCTGCTGCTAACCCTCGCAGCACGCTACATATAAAGAAAGACACGCGTTAACTAGCTCGTGGGTCCCCCTTTGGGCGGAAAGACACGGCAAACGGCCACTGCGGCCCTTGCTGCTGCTGCTGCTGCAGCCTGCGGCAGCAAACATCCCCTTCCCCTCCTTGCTGCAGCAGGAGGTGCTGCTGCTGCCGGCCAGCAGGCGGCGCAGCACCTCAGCAGCAACCGGCGTCTACCCTCGCAGCCCTGGGGTCCCCATGAGCCCGCTTAACGCAAAAGCAGCAGGAAGGGGCGCCTGCGGCAGCAGCAAGCAGTAGCAGCAGCAGCAGCAGCAGCAGGATACAAAGCCGGCGCGCCGCACGGCCACGGAGTGTCAGTAGCTGCAGCGCGGAGCGGCGCGGCCCTGGCGCCGCAGGAGCAGCAGCAAAAGAGATTCAGGGTGCAGCAGACGCGCCGCGCGGCGCAGGAGCAGCAGGGGAGGGGTGGCTTCTAGAGAAGCCTAAGCGGAGAGGGGAGAGTGGGGTGTCTGTACACCTGGGCCCGCCGCGGGGCGGCCTCAGAAGATCTCGCGAAGTGGAAAAAGAGCCACTCGGCGCTGCGGGGAGCTGGAAAGCGCGGAAAAGGAGGCGGGGCCGAGTGCGGGGCGCGGGAGGCTCACTGGGACATCTTTTTGCTTTTGCTTTTCTTGGGAAGCAGCACGGAGTGGACGTTGGGCATGACGCCGCCAGAGGCAATGGTGACCCCGCCGAGGAACTTGCTCAGCTCCTCGTCGTTGCGCACCGCCAGCTGGATGTGCCGCGGGATGATGCGGGTTTTCTTGTGGTCTCTGGCGGCATTTCCGGCAAGTTCGAGGATTTCGGCGCACAAATACTCCAAAACTGCAGCCATGTAGACGGGGGCCCCCGCGCCGACGCGCTTGGCGTAGCGGCCCTTCTTGAGGTAGCGGCCGATGCGGCCCACGGGGAACTGGAGGCCGGCCTTGGCGCTCTTGCTGGTGCTTTTGCCGCTTTTTTTGGCGCGTCCGCCCTTTCCTTTCGCCGACATTTTCGCAAACGGGGTGTTCGATCTTGGCGCCGCGAGGAGAAAAGAATCTTGTGGAGCTTCCGCGGCTTCCGGGCCGTCCGCGGTGCGGCGCGCGGGCGGCGCGGCGGCCGGGGGCCCGGGCCCTCTCCCCGCGCGCGGCGAGCTGCTGCCGCGGCTGGCTAGCAGCAGCAGCAGCAGCAGCAGCAGCAGCAGCGGCGGCGCTCCGCAGCGCGCGGCTTCGCACCCGGTGCGCGCGCGGCGCGCGCACGCCGCGCGCGCCCCGCAGCCAGCCAGAGCCGCCCCCGCCCCGCAGCAGCAGCAGCCCCACCCCCCCCCCCTTCACTTGGAAAAATCCTGCAATTCCTCCCCAGCGAAGCAACAACAGCAGCAGCAATGGCGCGAACCAAACAGACGGCGCGCAAGTCCACCGGCGGCAAGGCCCCCCGCAAACAACTCGCCTCCAAGGCCGCCCGCAAGTCCGCCCCCGTCGCCGGAGGCATCAAAAAGCCCCACAGGTACCGCCCCGGCACCGTCGCCCTCCGCGAAATCCGCAGGTACCAAAAAAGCACGGACCTGCTGATTCGCAAGCTGCCTTTCCAGCGGCTGGTCCGCGAGATCGCGCAGGACTTCAAGACGGACTTGCGTTTCCAGTCCTCCGCGGTGCTCGCGCTGCAGGAGGCTGCGGAGGCGTACCTCGTGGGTCTTTTCGAGGACACCAACTTGTGCGCCATCCACGCCAAGCGCGTCACCATCATGCCCAAGGACATCCAGCTGGCCCGCAGGATTCGCGGCGAGCGCTCGTAGCGGGCTGCGCGGCCTTTGTGCGCCGCTGCTGCTGCTGCTGCTGCTGCTGCAGCAGCGGCGGCGGCGGCGGCGGCGGCTGCGGAGCCTCGGGGCGCGCGCGCACGCGGTTCGGAGGTGTATAGACAGCTAGTCTTCGTTTCCCTTAGGCTTCACTAGAAGCCACCAGCCCTCCCATCCCCTCATTTGGGGTTTGGGTTTCCGGCGCGCCCGCGCCGGGCAGCTCCGCCCAGGGGTTTCGGGGGGCCTGCTGCTGCGCAGGGGGCTTGCGGCTGGGCGGGCCCCGCGCGGCAGTGGCGAGGGTCTAGGGTTTGGCAGCAGCAGTGGCGAGGGTCTAGGGTTTGGCTGCAGCAGCGGCGACTGGGGGGGGTTTAGGGTTTTGCAAGGCAGTGACTGAGGGTTTGGGCGCAGCAGCTGGCCGCGGACTTGCCGCGCCGTGGCGCTGGCCGCTTTTTCCCTCATTGAGGGTTTGCAGGCCCTCCCTATCCGCTGGTTCGGGGTTTGCAGGCCCTGCTTATTCGCTCGTGAGGGTTTGTAGGCCCTGCCTGTCCTCTGGTTGAGGGTTTGCAGGCCCTGCTTATTCGCTCATGAGGGTTTGGAGGCCCTGCCTACCCGCTGGTTGGGGGTTTGCAGGCCCTGCTTATCCGCTGCTTCAGGGTTTACATCCCCTGCTTATTCGCTCGATGGGGGTTGTCTGTACTATGGGCCCCCAGCTTCGGGGATGACCTCTACGTGCTGCTGCTGCAGAGCAGCAGCAGCAGCAACAACAGGAAGGAACCGTTCCTCCGTTACTACGCACTCTGAACTTGAATGTTTCGAAACGGAATATGAGTCAAGACAATTAAACAGAGCTAGATGTGATTCATTGAAACAGAGATTGATTAATTATGTGAAAAATAATGCCAGATGGAGTTTATTTTAATTCAAATGTCTCCTTCCGCGGTGGCGGGCGGAAGTTGAATTGTGGTGCCTGCGGTTGAGGTGTACGTACATCTCTGTACGTACGTCTCGCGCGCGCAAAGAGGGTGGATCGGAATTGTTTTATTTCGTCCTTTAAAGGATTGTTCGCAAAAGATTATCCAAAACTCAAATTGTCTGCAGGTTATTTAGAGTCAGACAGATCCCCCCATCAGCTCGCGGATGCGGCGCCGTAGCCCTTCTTCCTGCAGCAGCAGCAGCACAGTATGATGAGTTGCTGCAGCACGAACAGCAGCAGTGGCTGCAGGGAAACAGGGAACAGGCTGCAGTAGCAGCAAAGGGCACGTTGCAAGCAACAGCAGCGACAGCTGCTGCTGCTGCTAGTAAGCAGAGCAAAGGGCACATTGCAAGCAACGACAACTGCTGCTGCTGCTAGTAAGCAGGGAGAGGAAAACAGCAGCAGAAGAAAATAGAGGCTAATATCGGGGCTGCTGAAGAAGCATAAGTGGAGAGAATGAGATGCGAAGTGCACTAAGGGGCTGCTGCTGCTGCTGCAGCTGATGTGTGCGCGTTGCTGCTGCTGCTGTTCCCTGCTGCTGCAGCTGGTGTCACTTCTGCTGCTGTTGCTGCTTGTGCTCCTTTTGCTACCGCTGCTGCTTCTAGTGCTGCTCCTGCTGCTCGCTTCTCCTGGCAGAGCATCTTCAGCAGCAGCAGCAAGCGCACTCGCAGCAGCAGCAGCAGCAGCAGCAGCAACCGCGCTCGCAGCAGCAGCAGCAGCATCTGACCTCCAGGTCTTCTCCGTCATTTGCATTCACTTTTCTTCTTTTCCTCCGCGAGCTGCCGTCCGACTTATACATAGGAAAGCCCTGAGAGCAGCAGCAGCAGCACCAGCAGCAGCAGCAGCAGCAGCGGGAAAAGTTTCATTTTACTTTAAAAGAAAATTTAATAAAACAAAAATAATAAATTAAAGACATGCCGCAGAATTGTGCCATTTAAAACAATAACAGAATTTAAAGAAGAAATAAACTAAGAAAAAAGAAACCTGCCAATACACCTGGAGCTCAAGATACACGCAGGCCCAGACCTTCAGGTGTCTTTACACCGCATTAGAACGGTAGAATGACAGTTTCTTTTAATTCTTTTTTCTTTCTTTGGAAAAAAGAAAAAGAATTTAAAGGTTCTAAAGGAGTAAATTGTGTCTTACTGCATTTTCATCGTCGCTGAACTCTTCATTTACCTTCCGCCGCTGCTGCTGCCGCTGCTGCTGCTGCTGCTGCTGCTGCCCAGCTCCCGCTGCAGCAAGCTTTTGCTGCCTCCTCTTCTCTCTCTGCCGCCGACCTGCAACAGCAGCAGCAGCAACAGCAGCAGACTGTTGAAGGAGACTTTTCTCGTGCTGCTGCTGCTGCTGCTGCTGCTGCTGCTGCATCTGCGGTTTGGGGTGTACATACAGCTCGTGTTGCTTGCCTCTGCTATAAGTTTTCTTTTTGAATTTTTTTGTTTTTTTGTTGTTTTCTGCTTCTTCTGGATTCTCCAATTCTGCTTCTTCTTTTCTTTTTTTCAACAAACTCGCAAAAGCAGCAATCCGTTCTTTCTGAGAACGACACTCTCTGACACAAATGCATTTATTTTTTATTTCTGTTTGATAAAAGTTGAAGCAAAAAGAATATGAAAAGTGAAATCTTTCATTTTATTTTAATCAGAAAGAACAAAAAAGGATATAAACACTGGCACAAATGCACTTTTTGATTTTCTTTTTAATTAGAATTGAAGCAAAAAGAACATGAAAAATGGTTTCTTTTTCTATTCTTTTTGATTCTTTTTGATTAAAATGAAATATAAAAAGATATCGCTTTTCATATTCTTTTTGCTTCTTTTTTAATCAAAAGAATCAAAAACGGATTTCACTTTTATATTCTTTCTGCTTCTCTTTTAATCAAAAGAATCAAAAACAGATTTCACTTTTTATATTCTTTTTGCCTTGATTTTAATTAAAAAGAAAATAAAAAAAGAATTTTAAAAAATTATTGCTCCAAATCGCTACCGCGCGCTGTACAGACACCGGAACACGCCCAATGAGCACACTGCTCTATAATTATAAATACAAATATAAATAAAAACAAATATATAAATATAAATATATGTATATGAATATAAATATAAATATACATATAAATATAAATATAGATATAAATATAAATTCACATCTTAATTTAAAGCTTAATTTAAATAATATGTATATGTGTCAAGACATTCATATATATATTATATATTATATATATATTTACTAGAAGAGATTAGCTGTTGGTATTATCTTTCACTTAAAAATGCTGCCGCCAAATCAAATAAGCAAAAATAAAAAGCAGAAGCAAAACGAAGGGCCGCAGCAGCAACAGCAGCACGGCAGCAACATAAACAGCAGCAGCAGCAAGAGCAGCAGCAGTGACAGCAGCAGCAGCAGCAGCGCACCTTAATTTTAACTTTTCGCGCATCTTCCAGCGCAAACTGCACAATGGGGCGCCTCGCCTCCCGCTGCTGCTGCTGCTGCTGCTGCACCTGCTCGTTGGGCCTCGAAAAGAAGCTGCTGCTGTCTCGAACTGCATGCAGCAGCTGCAGCGTCTCCGCAAAGTCGCACTTTAAATCAACAAAACAAAACCCCAAAGACCTCCGGGGGGCCCCCGGGGGCCCCCTGCGGCCTTTGGGGTTTTTCGGTTCGCGAATGACTGCCACCTGCAGACAAGTCTCAGTGGATCATTTCTTTTTTATTCTTTTATTTCAAAGTTTCCCTCTGCTGCTGCAGCAGCTGCTGCTGGCGAGATGAAAGGAAGGAAATGCAGAAAAAGAAATGAAGAAAAGTGCAGACAGGAGCGTCACACGCGGTGTACGTACACCCCAAGTTGCATGCAGCAGCTGTACATACACTCCACGCTGCAGCGCAGCAACGAACCTTTCCAATTGCTGCTGCCGCTTTCGCTTTCCATTCCTTAGACTTCTTGCCCTTGGCGTGCTGCTGCTGCTGCTGCTGCCGTTCTTTTGGCTGCTCCTGCTCTTGCTGCTGCTCGAAATCCCCGTCTGCTTGCTCTGCAGCAGCAGCAGCAGAAGCAGCAGCAGCTGCTGCAGCAGGAGACTCTGCATGCTCTTTCAAAATGGAAGCCAAAAGGCCCACCAGCTTTTCCCTTATGAAGTTCGCGTCCGCCCAGCGCGGCAAATTGCGCAGACAAAGCCCTGAATGCAAACCCTAAACCCTAAACCCCAGCATTTTGGCTTTCTTGCTCAGGGTTTACGCGCGCCAGCTAAAAGCCCCTGGCCGCTGCGGGGGCCCTTAAACCCTAAACCCTATACCCTAAACCCTAAACCCCAAACCCTAGCCCAGACCCTAAACCCTCGCAGGGTTGCGCACTCCTTTTGTTGACAAAAATATTAGGGTTTTTGAGTTTTTCTTTTGTCTCGTTGTAGGCAGCATTAACTAGGATTTCTTCTTGAGGACTTAAACCCTTAAAGGGTTTGCTGGGAAGTCCGTAGAAGGCCAGCTGGTGGCCTCGGCGGCGCGGGCCCTCCAGAGCCCTGCAGTTGCAGTGTACATATACCCCAAGTTCAGGTGCCCCCGCAGCACATCCCCAGGTGTACATACACCCCAATTCGCGCCACATTTCACTAAACTTCCTTCAAACTGCCGCCGCATTAGAGAAAAGAAGCATTTAAGGGCAGTTTCGCCAGCTGTACGTACACCCGAGATCGCGGAGGTGCGCATACACCCCAAAGCTACGGTGTACGTACACTCCAAAGCAGAATTTGAACGGCCAGATCCTCCAGCTTTCGCTCGAGCTTATTAAAATGCATTTTAAATATATATTTAGAATTAAAAAGAGGGTTATTTTTTAAGTGATGAGCATTGGTTTGGGATTTTCGCATTTTTCACCCTGAATGGCCGTGCTGCTGCTGCTGCAGTTAAGGATCTGCAAAGGGCAAATTGGATCGAAATTCCGCCTTTTTAAGGGATAAAAAGAGCGAATTAAATGCAAATTTAAATATTTGAATTAATTGAATTAAAATACTACTAATTTATTGCATTAAAAGAATAAATTTAGTTACTTTTTCCCTTCCACCTCACTTTTTTTGCCGCCGCTCCTGAGCCGCCTCTTTGGCCTTCTCGCGGCTTAGCGCCGGCAGCACCTGCAGGCGCCTGCCCTTCAGCAAAAGTGCTGCGCCGCGGGCTGCGTCTGTTTGCTGCTGCTGCTGCTGCTGCTGCTGCAGCGGGTCGTCGTCCAGCTGCAGTAGCTGCTGCTGCTGCTGCGCAGCCAGCAGGTGCGACAGCCGCTTCTGCTGCCGCCCCGACAGCAGCTCCAGTTCTCTTTCATATGCAGCAGAAGCAGCAACAGCGCGCTGCGCAGCAGCCTGCAGCAGCAGCAGCAGTAGCAGCAGAGGCAGCAGTATTTTATTCAAATATAAAAAGAAATAAATATAAAAAGTCAAATTAATTTCGACATTTAAAATGGATTTAAACAAAATAAACATTTATGTCTTCGTGCAAACAAATGCGTACAGGCCAGGGGGATTCTTGTGCCTATACAGTGCACATTCAAATGCACTATATAAATATATTTACAAATATATTTTATAAACAGAATTTAAAAATACAATTTAAAAATATACTTTAAAAATATAATCTATAAATATATTTTACATTTTGTACAAATTAACTGTCATAATTAATGAAAGCGGCACATATGAGTGCCTCCAGGCTGCATGCAGCAGAGGCGAGAGCAGCAGAGGGTCACAGCAGCAGCAGCAGCAGCAGCAGCAGCAGCAAGCGCGAATGGCGAAAGCAGCAGCAGCAGCAGCTGTAGCAACAATCAGGTCCACTGCAGCAGCAGCTGCTGCAGCAGCATCCGCACGAACACTCTGCTGCTGCAGCAGCACAAGCCGAAGCAGCTGCTGCCGCAGCACCGAAGCCACTATTGAAATAAGCAGCAGCAGCAGCAGCAGCAGCATCGACGGCATCACCAGGAGCAGCAGCAGCAAAAGCGACGGCATCAGCAGCACCACGGAAAGCAGCAACAGCAGCAAGAAAAGCATCGACCGCAGCGCCGAAAGCAGCAGCAGGAGCACCAAACACATCGACAGCGCCGCCAAAAGCACCAGCTGCAGCAGCAGCAGCAGCAGCAGCAGACCTCTTCGGCGAAGTAGACGAAGGCAGCCCCCTTGCAGTCCCCTCTGTCAGTTTTCACTAAATGGATTTCTTTTATTTCGCCAAAAGAATTCAAAAGAGAAGACACAGCAGCTGCGTCTGCGTCGAAGGGCAAGTTGCGCACAAACACGGAGCAGCGCAGCTGCTGCTGCTTCCGCTGCTGCTGCTGCTGCTGCTGCTGCTTCTGCGGCTGCTGCTGCTTCTGCGGCGGCTGCTGCTGCGGCTTTTCTGGTGACTGCGACGTTGCCTCGTGGTTGCTGTGCTTTCGCTTCTTCGCTTTTGCTCCCTGCTGCTGCTGCTGCTGCTGCTGCGCTGCAGTTGCGTCCCCGTTAGTTTGGTTGCTGCCATCTGCAGCAGTTCTCTTTCTCTTCTTTTCAGTCCCCTGCCTCCCGCCCTTGTGCTGTTGCTGCAGCTGCTCAGAGTCCCACTGCTGCTGCTGCTGCGGGCTCTCAGCTGGCTCGTGCTGCTGCTGCTGCTGCTGCTGCTGCTGTCTGCGTTTGCCGTTTCTTGCGTTGGGGTCCCGCGGCTTTCTGAATTTCCCCTTCGAGAATTTGCCTCGGGGGGCCCTGGGGCCCTTCGCCTTCATTTTGTTTTCTTTTTTGTTGTTTTTGTTTAGTTTTATTTTTAATGAAATTGATTATAAGAGAAGAACTGCAGCAGCAGCAAGGGGTGCATGCAAGGGGGAAAAGCCCCAAAGGAGCTGCACAGAAAGAGCTAAAAACCCACGAAAATGCCTCGAAAGGAACGTTACAGTCAACTGCAGCAGCAGCAGCTGCTGATGCTGCTGCTGCTGCTCCGTGGCGCGGATCGCGTCGATGCTGCTTCTGCTGCTGCTGCCGCTGCTGCAGTTCCTGCTGCCTTCGCTGTCTAGAAATGCGTTAGGAAATTTTATGTTGAATATTTAATTCAATAATTGAAAACTAAACGAATTCGGCGGAAAGCCACGGCCGCCACAGAGAGCAGCCAAGAGGGGGGCCCCACGGCGGTGGGGGCAAGAGGCGTTTTGAACTTGTCCGAGGGGAAATAAAAAAAAATTTAAATAAAAGTCTAAAAAGTAAATTTAAAATGCAAAAACAATAACTGCGGTCGAAGAAGAAGCAAGCGTCACGCCCTTCCGGGTGTATGTACACCTGAGCGCCAGCAGCAACACCGGCCTCAGCCGCGGGGGCCCCCGACAAAGCGCAGCCTCTATAAGGCCATTTTAAATGATTTTGCGTATTTAAAAGAAATAAAATATATAAAAAGAAAAATGAATTCATTTAAAATAAAAAGAAGCGAAAAGAAGAGAGCATCCAAATACGGGCGCCGGGGATCGAACCCGGGATCTTTCGCGTGTGAGGCGAACGTCATAGCCACTAGACCACGCCCGCGGGAACAGCTCCGTTTTTTTCCGTTTTTGTTTTATTTCTTTTATTTCTTTTACTTATTTATCTAACCCTCTTATTTCTTTTTTTATTCATTTCTGTTATTTTAAATGGTCTTCTGTCTCCCGTCTTTAAGGCCTGCTGCAGGTGTGCTGCTGCTGCCATCTCGCCAGCAGCTCCTCTCCTTTTGGAGCCCCACAGGACTTGCTTTTGTCTTCCCGCCGCTGCTGCTGCTGCTGCTGCTGTTGCTGCTGCTGTTACTGCTGCTGCTGTTGCTGCTACTGTTACTGCTGCTGCTGCTGCTCGCGGGGCGCCTTGAGTTGCTGTGAGCCCCTGCTCGTGATTATTCTCAAAACAGGAACAATAAAGTCCTTTACGAGGAGAAAACAAAAAAGAAACAAAATGGAAAAGAAATGGAATTGCTGAGGGCCTGCAAAGAGGCGCATTGGGGTGTATGGACACCGCGACCTCGGGGTGTATGCGCAGCTCTTTTCTGCAATGTACGTACACCTCAAGTCGGCGCCCGTTGCTGCCTCGGCTTTGAGGTCTTGAAGAGTTTGGAGCTGCTGCCGGGTGTCTGTACACCTGGAGGGCGAACGGGGCAGCCGCGAAATCGATGCAGCAAGAGGCCTCTGCTGCTTCCAAAAGAAGAGGCCCCTGGGGCCCTTGGATTAGCTGCTAAACACCTCCGTCACCAGCAGCAGCAGCAGCAACAGCAGCAGCGAAAGAGCAGCAGCAGCAGCGGCGCAGCAACTGCACACTGTCGACCCCTTCAGGTGCTGCTGCAGCTGCTGCAGCACAGCACGCAGATGCGCAGCTGCTGCTGCTCGCAGTGCAGCAACAGCTCTGAAGCTTTTAAAAGCAAATATAACTTTAAAATAAAAGGGAAAAAGAAGAAGGGGGCTGGAGCCGCGCAAGTGTTTGCTGCTGCGCGGCTTTGGGGTGGACTTGCACAGGGGCGGTCGAGACGCGGAGGCGCGGCGCGGGAAGCGCGGGCTGACTCGGGTCTTTTTCGTTGGAAAAGGGTTTAAATGCCACTTTTAAAGTAATTAAAAACGAATTTAGTCCGAAGAAACCGCGAAAAATGAAAGAACTGGAACTAACCAGTGGTGCTGTCTGCGCACCGCCGCCGACCGCCGGTCACCTGAGGTGCCTGTACACCCCAGAGGCGTTTCCTGCTGCTGCGTCCAAAGCCCGCATTTCCTTTTTATCGAATAAGTAAATTGGAAACACTTGTCTTTCCAAGTTTAAATAAGTCATTTGGCGTTGATTTTTGGCTCGAAGCCGGCGCTGCAGCTGCCTGTGCCTGCAGCTTTTCGCGCTGCTGCTCGTGCAAAGCGCGGCTGCTGCGCCGTGTGCAGCGGGGGGCCCGTGTGCGGCTTTTCCAGCCCCTTTTCCTTTTCTTTTTTGTTCTTTTCGGATTTATTTTCTTAAAAATTACCTTTTTGTGCCTCCAGCGACTTCCAGAGGCCGCCGAGCGCCCGCTTTCCCCCCCCGCCGGCGGGCCAGCTTCCCTCCGTTGCTAACAGGCAATGGCGCAGGACCTTTTGGGGGCCCTGGCGCTGCCGCGGCCCTCACTGGACCCTCTGGGGCCCCTTGCTGCTGCGGCAGCAGCAGCAGCAGCAGCAGACGCGGCAGAGTCCGAGCCCACCACTACCGACGCCTCCCGCCTTTCCCCAGCAGAACTCACCCCCAGCCAAGAGGGGCCCCTCCAGGAGAGCCCCAGGGGCCCTTTCGAGGAATTCCCGGGCCCCCCTCCCCCTCCCGAGGGGCCCCCCCCTCCCGAGGGGCCCCCCGCTCCCGACGGGCCCCCCAGGGCCGGGGGCCCCCCCCCCCTGCAGGCGGGGGAAGCCGGGGGCCCCCCCCCCCCCCCCCCCCCGGGG